TTGTTGATATGGGTGTTATTGTCACCACTCCCACACCACTCTACTGTGACATTAAGAGCGCCATCTACATTTCTAAAAATCCAGAGTTCAATGAACACATCAAGCATATTGAAGTTCATTGTAACCTTGTTTGGCAAGAATTTTTGGCAAACTCAATTTCTCTTCCATATATTGCCTCTGAGCAACTTGCTGACTTCTTCACGAAAACACATATTGCACCTCAATTCTCTCTATTTCTCTCCAAACATGATTTCTACCAAACTATCTCGAGTTTGAGGGGGAGTATGAAATTATAGTAACCTATAAATATTACCTCTGTACAATATTTTCTTTTCTTTTCTTTTCTTTTCTGTGTACTCATATTAGGAAGGTTATTTATTCTGTACTGCTTTGTAACTCTATAAATTGAGGGTGCATGTACACAATTTTAATATACAGAAATACTTAGCCAATTACTCTCCATGAAGAACCTAGAGAACTTTGCCAATGCCGCAAGCTCTCTAACCTAATTACCTCTATGGGCATGCCTTGCTCATCTCCCTTCATGTTTGTGCTTCTCATGCAAACTCCACCTTCGTCAACACTCTCATCCTTGAGTTCTTAGGGCCATCTTGCCTTCACACATGCGCTAGGTGAATCATTTTCTACACACCTACAAGCATAACCGGTGCTTGATCTCATATCACCTACATACCTTGCATAAGTCTCTCCCATGAAGTCTTCTTTATACTCAAAGCCTTGGCAATACTGGCCCATAGTTCTTAAATTTTGAAGTACCCATTTCACTCCATTTGAACATTTTCTTTTTTAGGCTAAGCATAAACCAATCAAGGAAATAATAAACAAGTGAAATGACAACTTTTATAGAAATCATGGCAATAATCTAAATCAATACTAGAGTAGCATGCAACACTCTAATCACATGGGCCCTTCTTTCACCAAAATTTGAACATTGGCCTAAAGGAAATTCATGTTGTGTTTTCGGCTTCATTTCCTTTGTGAAAGTACCAAATCTTAAATTTCTCCACATTGCTGAATATCCTTATCAAGACATTGTTTTATGCCACCAAAATCTTCCATTGCCTAACCAAGTGCTGCTAACCGAACTTCTTTGTATTATACAACCAAATTTACCTTTTCATTTACAATTGTGCTCCCCAATAATTTGTACAAGCTTCCTTCCCAGACTCCTTTTATCATAACTAGAGCCCCTTTTGAAATTTTGAGCACTCCATGTTGCCCGGTAAATTTGTAGCCTTCCATATCTAGAGAAGGAAGTGAAATCAAATTCTTCTTTAAATCCGGCACATGTCTCGTATTTTCAAGTGTCCAAACCATCTCATCATACATTTTTATGCAAATCGAGCCCATTCCTATCTTCTTACTCATTGAATTATTTCCCATTGATGCCAAACTGCCCTCACATGACTCATATGCATCAAACCACGATCTATGCAGGTACATATGGTGTGTGGCTCCACTAGCAAGTATCCAACATTGATAGTACATGGGATTAATTCCACTATCAACACCTTCTCTTCAACATGCCCGGATGTTGATTCTTCAACATGGTGAGCATCATTCTTGGCTCACCTTGTTGTTCCATTCCCGACCTGGAACCCTTTGAGGAATTTGGCCCTTTCCTTTGCCAACAATTTTTCCTTATGCGACCGGGCTTGCCACAAAACCAACAACTTTTTTAGTCATAAGACCCTCTCAACTTTGATCGGCTACTTGAGGAACCTATTGATGAACTTATCCATTCATCCAACCGGCCTCTTGCCACAAGTACATCCATTTTTGAGCCCATTGTATCATCCATCGATACCTTCTTTCGAAGTTCATTGGCAAGTAGAGCACTACAAACCGAATTAACTTGAGGGATTCTTCATTGTTACAATTCAAGGTAGTAATTAGATTATCATAAGATTCCGGTAACGTGACAAGATTATCATAAGATTCCGCTAACGAACAAAGGAATGTCACTACCTTATCTTCCTCATCCATGTTTACCCCAATGCTGTTGAGTTGACAAATTATGTTGTTGAATTCATTCAAGTGTTCTGAGACTTTCATACCATTTCTCATCCGCAAAGAATTCAATTTTCTTTTTAAGAAAATTCGATTTTTGAGGGACATTGTTTGGTACAAGCTTTCTAGCTTTTTCCATGAATCCGTCGTCGTCTTTTCACCTACTATATTAAATGGTATTTCATTCGGTAAATACAAGCGAATTGTGGCGAGCGCCTTCCTATCCATTTCTTCTCAATCATCATCCTTCATACTTTCCAGTTTCTTTGATTTTCCTTGTAGTGTTTTATAAAGACCTTGTTGTACTAATATGTCATGAACTTTAATTTTCCAAAGGTCAAAATCGTTCCTTCCATCAAACTTCTCTACCTCAAATTTGTAACCAGCCATTTCCCAAATTACTACATACTTCTCTTGAGCTCAGATACCACTTGTTGGGAATCGAGGCTACCTCGATTACCCCTTGTTGCGGTGAACCCCCCACTACAACAAATCTAATACCTCGAAACCAACTTACCAATCACTGGCAAATTGATTCCAAGAAATCCAACATGCAAGAATCAAATATATGGTGTAGTAAATTTGGTAAAAATGCAGTGAAATCAAGATAAAGTGAAATACGAACTCTAATAGCACAACCACACACTACCAACCATAATCAAAGCACTATAAAACACACAATATATGTGGTTCACCCAAAATCAGGCTACATCCAATGGCAACCAGCAAGGAAATGGTTCACTATCAATAGAAGAAATTTATAAGTTTGTGGGTTTTGTAGAGATTACCTCATACAATGGTAAAGAAAGCTCAAATTGATTTTCCTACCACAATAATACCATCAATCGACTCCTTGTTTTGTCTCCATCGACTAACACCATCGCCGCAAGAAAATCCAAATGAAATCTGACCCAATACAAGGGCACAATAGTGCTAGGGTTTGTGCAAGAAACCCCCAATCTCTATCGAGGCTATTTCGATTACCCTTTGTTGCAGTGAACCCCCCACTACAACAAATCTAATACCTCGAAACCGACTTGCCAATCACCGGCTAATTGATTCCAAGAAATCCAACAATGTTGTTTCTCGCAGATGTCTTCCAAGTGGTCCTCTAGGGTCTTGACATGAGCTTCGGGCCTTCATTTTAGGGGTGGCAATGGGTTGGGTATGGGTCAGAGCCCTGCTAGACCTGGACTCGGACTCGAGTAACACGAGATGGACCCATAGCCGACAGGTCCTGAGAACCCATTCCTGTACTCGTACCTGGAATGACATTATGGACTCAGGACCCGACCCTTAGCCGAAATGTTTAATATTTCTGCAACTTTTTTGTGGCGCCATTTAAAAAGCAATTGATTTTAGAATTCCCCCAAAAGCTTCATTAAAGCTGGGATGACCATTCTAACATGGTAGTTTTGTATTCCCCCAAAAGCTTCATTAAAGCTAGGATGACCATGCTGACATGCAGTTTTGTTTACTGTTAGTGGTACTCGCACTGTGCCTTTGTCACATGAACGGTCTCGCTTTCTCTCTCTAGGAATTCGTAATTCCACCTTTTGCCATCTCTCTAACTACTCTCCTTTCTCTCTCCAGGAAACCCTATCCTTTCTCTCTCTAGAAAACTCACAATCTCATTTTCTGCCATCTCTCTCGTAAGACTAACTTCTCTGTCTCTTGGAAATTCTCCCGCCTTCTCTTTCTTTTGTTTCGCTGGGGGGTATCTGAGTTTTAGATTATTTTTGCAGATAGTTTTTTATCTTGAAGGTTTTGTGTATGGGTTCTCTCAGTTTGTTGGGTTCTTGGTTTGAAATGCCATTTTCTTTTCTTTTATTATTTTTCTTTCTTTCTATCGTTGTTGCTGGTTATAAGAATTTGGCTGGGTTCTTTTTTAGAGTTTTTCTAGTGCCAATTTGCTCTCTTGAGTTGCGTTTTGTTTCTTTGGGTCTTTACAATGCCCCTTTGTTGTGTTTTGATCGTTTTTAGTGGGCATAAAAAGATGGGTTTTGCTCAAGGGGGGGAGAGAGAAAGATGAACATGAGCAGCCCCTTGGTCTCACATTTCGGCATTGCAGCTGATTTTCTAGCAACTCATGGCCTGAAAACGGTTTTCAGAAAACCCTCGGAGACACAAATCTCTCTCTCTCTCTCTCATTTCTCTCTCTATTACTCTCCTATTCTCTCTCCTTCCTCCTCTCTCTCTCTCTCTTTCTCCTTTCTCTCTATTCCTATCGTATTCTCTCTCCTTCTCTTTCGGGTCCGGGTTGGGTCCACTAGAACCTGTACCCAACCTGTGCCTATTTCGGGTTCATAGAGATGGACGCGGACCCTACCTGCCGGATCCAAATGCTGGACCCATACCCGGATCGAGTCGGGTCCAGGTCCATTGCCACCCCTACTTCATCGTAATGCAAGTAGCTTCTACTAGTTCTTGAGGTGGTCTACATGATCTTGGGTACGTGGCCCGTTTCGCTGCTGCCACCACACCCCATACCTGCTCTGATACCATCTGTTGGGACCGAGGCTACTTTGATTACCCCTTGTTGCGTTTAACCCCCCACTACAACAAATCTAATACCTTGAAACCAATCACTGGCAAATTGATTCCACCAAATTCAACCCCCAAGAATTGAATATATGTCATAAATTTTATAAAAATATGATGAAATCAAGTTAAAGTAAAATTGGAACTCTAATGGCACAACCACACGCTACAAACTTTAAACAAAGCAACATAAAATAGATAATTCATTAGCTAAAATTTTAGATCCCAAAATGCATATAGAATAGGACACCTCAAGAAACTTGGAGTAGCTCTAAGTACATGAAGGTATTTGGATTGACAGCCTATGGTCCTATGCAACTTTTAAGTAAAAAAATGTGCTTATTAAAGCTATTCTGTCCCATGTATTTATATATTCGTCTTCCTTTTCCTCTCCTCTTCCTTAATCTTCATATTTTGAATAATTTCAGTCACCAAAGGGAGATATTAGTTACCTGCAGAAGTTCTTTCTTACATATATTGGGGGTCGTTTCCCGCTTCATCTGCGAGAGGATTTTTGTGGAACAGCTTTATTGAGGTCAGTCCATATTGAATGTACTCAAGTGTTAGTAACCAGATTCTTTCTTTGTAGAAAATTTAGTGCAAACTGGAAACTCCTCGTAGTATCTTCTTATTTTATTTTATTTTTTTTCCTGTTTGTTTTTTGAGTTGAGAAGAAGGGTGGGGTGTTTGGGGGGGGCTGTATCTTTATGATATTTCTGCATCATGATGATGATACCCACTTGCATTAAACAAAGTGAAAGTTAATGGAGAAAATAAAAAAAGAAGATTCTTAAGGATACTGATCCAAGAAAATAAAGAACTAAGGCTGTGAGCTTCTTTCAAGTTTTCTTCCTAATTGCTGAATTTTTATTTTTATTTTTTTTGCCTTGTTGACCTTTAGTGCAGAATGGATTCATAGTGATGCAAGGCGAACTGCCATAGGAGTGGATTTGGACCTTGAGGCACTAACGTGGTGCCTTGAAAACAACATTAAAAAAGTTGGGTTTGATGGGTATTCAAGAATCTTTCTCTACAATGGAAATGTCCTTCAACCTCACAATGCCACCCTAGTCAAATGTAGACTACCAGATAGTATCAACTCTAGTGAGACTTCTACAAATGAAGTGGATCCGATAAATGCCGACAATAATCCAGATCCCAAAGAAAAATGCCAGAATCCAGCAAGGGATATTATTTGTGCATTTAACTATAGTTGCTGTTGTCTTCAAAAGCGCGAGGACCTCGTCTTATATTTTAAGCATGCGCTTAGTTCCTTGTCAAAGAAAGGCGGTATATTTGTTATGGACTTGTATGGGGGAACATCGTCAGAGCGTCCACTAAGGATTCAAAGGAGATATCCGAATTTTACCGTAAGATATTATAGGCTCACTGTTCCTACCTTTAAATGGAGGGCAAGTATATTGTGCATCTAATGATATTCAGAAACCATGGTCCATTGAAGTCTTCACTGTGTAATGAAATAATGGACAGTGGTAGAGAGGGAGTTTTAGCTACCAGAACAGGACATAACCTGAATGTTCAGTCCCGTGTATCTTCATCACAGTTCATAATTTCGTTAGATGGTGATGATGCCAATTGACTACAGTTTCTACACAGTCCACTGGATTATTGTATATTTTTCTCTAAATAGAATATTGTCCCTCAATTCTCTATCTTGTATTTGTAACTTATGGGTGCCTTTTTTAAAAAGAAAAAAACTTCTCACTCATGGCTGCTTTTAGAGAAAAAATTGTGAACTATGTGCCATGCTGTTAGAGAAAAAGTTAAACTATGTGGAGTGTTTTTTCTTTTCAGTTATATAAAATTGGAACCTTGTTCACTTTGCTTGGTCATTGAACATTTGAGAAGTGAAGAATGGATTATCTTGTTTGTGTTTTTACAGAAACATATGTATCAAGTTAATGGTAAGATGAATTTTGATATCTGGTTGTTGTAACTATATGTGTAACAAATCTGTAGTTTTCTGGAATATTGTGTGTGCAATTCTTGTGTAGATGAATGGAAAGAATGGTGAGTATTTAAGAGTTTCAATCTTATAGATCTGATTTTTCTGGGAAGCCACATTATATCAAAGACTTGGATGAGGTCCCTGGATATTTCTTTTTGTCTTTTTGAGTGTTTTTCCCATTTTGAACATTGGGCATTAGTACCTTGCCCTTTTGCTATGGCCGCTTTTCAAGAGGCTGAGCCAGATTTGCATCAAAACCTGTAACTGTAGATTGTGTTATATGATGGAACTTGAAAGAATATGATCAGATGTGTGCTCTTGGTATTCTGCATCCTTCATGTTTTTTATTTGATAAGGTATTCTGCATCCTTCATGTTTCAAGTACTTGTGCAAATTAATGCAATCATGACATTGACATTTCTGGAAAAAAAAAATTAGCCACAGAGTATTGACACAATTAAGTTGGTTTTATATGCGACACTTACGAATCAAATGAAAACATACAATATATGCCATCTGCTATCCTAAAACCACATGCAATTTACAGCTTAGCATTTACATCAAAAGAAATTGACTTGTCAAATAGCTCAGTTAGAAATCTATTAACATAATTATATAATTTGCTATTTCCCAGTATCGAGTACATAAATATACAACACTACTCTCCAAGATTAACATTTGCTCATAGGGCGCTTGCCTTCTTAAGGCTGTCTTAATTTTTAAACTAACTAGTTTGCTGTCTACATCTACAGTATATCTGGGAGCAAGAAGAGTTTGATGCACTGAGTCGCACAACTAGGATCAGCTTGCATTTTAATCTGGGCAAGAAGGGAACACTTAGACATGCCTTCTCATATAATTGGCGCCTGTATGTTATTGTTCTCTCTCTTAAAACTTCTTACATGTTATTGCTCTCTCTCTCTGCATCAGAAAGATAATTAAAGATTTATTTATATTAAGGTAAAGCATACCAGGTAGACCATAGTGGTATCTACTGTTTCTTACCAATGGCAGGTGGTGGAGATCATCTGTGCATGGGCAAATGTCTCTCATCACTGATCTCCATCATCCATCCCCAACTAAAATGAATATCCACCATTGATCGTTGGGAATGGAAGGTGGCTTCCCCTATAGTGCAACATAAATTGCACCATTGTTGTGCGGAAATGTTTTCCGTTATGAAGCCATTTCATATCCTTCGAAATTTCAAAGCTAGAATTACTTTTCATTAGATTTCTCTTGTATGAACAAGAACTCCTTAAGCTTATATCTTTTGTGGTAATTAAATCGCAACATCTCTTGATCAATGAAAATTCAAAGACTATTTTTTTATTTGCTTTTGTAGGTGGAGCCTGCCAGAAATTAAGGCTTGCTTGGAAGAGGCTGGGTTTCAACATGTTCATTTTTGGATGAGACAGATGTCAGATACACAAGGAAGCAAAAACACTGAATTCAACAGGGATCAAGAAGCAAAATATGTTGAGGTCTCCTCTTTCAAACAAAGAGATTCTTGGAATGCCTACATTGTTGCTGTGCCATAATGAACGCAAAACCAAAGAGCATTAAGTGAATTTTCTCATTGCTTTTTAAGAGGAGTGTCAATGGAGTGCCAATTTTATGGTCTTGGCTTTGATAGCTTATATGCAATCTTAATTGTTTGCAAGTAGTTTGAAAACTGATTCTCTCTCTCTCATATAGAGACGTGCCTTTGTTATTCATAGATAAATGAGTTAATATCTGACAGGGATATGAGCGTTAAAAATGTTAATTTTAAAAGTTCCGTATCAAATATTACACATTCCTCAATTGTTTATAAAAGGAGAGATGATGTCAAATATTAAGTTATTAAATAATTCATCTCTTTTGGGCATTTTGATAAATTTTTTTTTTTAAAAATTAACATTTATTACCTAAGAAGAAATTTTACTGATCACTCAATTTTGGTTTGAGTACTTGAATAGGATCAGATTTAAAGAGCGTGCCTAATATCAGGTTTGTGTAATAAGTGTACAAATATTCCATAAGAAATAATTATATTGTTTAAATACATTGAATTTTAGATAAGGGTGCAATTTGCACACGGATGCATTCGTAGGTGTAGAGGTAAGGTGCACCTTCAAATTTTATCATGGTATATAATTTTGATGTAAAATGTTTTTAGCATTATCTCAAAATCTATTTTTATATCTAATTATAAAATTTTAAATTTTAAAAATGGTTAAAATCTAGTAGATTTATGAACATATGAAAATCTTGAAAATAGACGGTTTAGATAATATGTTGTCAAATGCACTATTTTTGAGACTTAAATTTTTTTTATTTTTCATAGTCATACATCTCGATGTCGAGATGATCAATCAAAAGGTTTTTCAGCATTAAAACTACATTTTCTGATGGATTTTTTAGGGGTATATAAGGTAGCATCCTTACATAAACTTTTTCCTTTAGATAAATACCCAACAAGAAAACCCAGCCGATAATATATTGCTAAAGTTTCACGATGACAATATCACATAGTGATAAAGGATTGTATATATAAGACATTTATTTTTTATACAATTAGATTGCACTTAGTTTTAGCCATTGGATAGAAATCCAATAAATAAAAACGTGTCACAACATTGAAGAAATTTTATTTTGAGTTTTGTGCTCTAACAATGACACATCTTCAACAACCGGATTTTAAATTTAATAGTCAATTGTGATTTTCTTGTATTAAAAGTACATAGTCTCGTTATATACATTTTGTAATAAAATTGTCACTAAAGCAAAGAGTATAAAGAAATGCGCCGGGAAAAACACAGCAAGAGAAGGAAGCAACTCTCAAGTTTCTCTCTGTTCGGTGTCTGTGTTTGTGTAACTTGTTTTTGGATAGGTATCCAATATGTTCACTATACCAACAAATTGTTGTGAATTCGTCTTTCGTTTGGGTAAATCAGCGAGGAAAGGGTTCTCAATCCATTTTCACTAATGATAAGAGAAGTATACATGTACTGTAGCAAGAAGCCATTCGCTATATCGGAAATTAAAAGGAGGCTTAAAAAAGTGGGCTAACATGCCAAAATTGTAACCTTTACGGGCCGTTTCGACCCCTACAACAAAGATTACCAAAATTTAATTTTCCAGGGAAGTTGCCAGTTTTTGCCATTTGGATAAAAAAAATCTGGCGTGGAAATCCTTTCTTGTCTTCTATCTATTTTGAGCTCATTTTTCTCTTCACAAGTTAAAGAATTAATTTCCCTATCAAATTTTCTTATGGAACCAAATAAATAATAAATAATAAATAATAAAATGAGCGTATAGATAGTTAGGGCCCAGATAAAAAAGGCAATCTCTTCCATCTCTCTCCCTTGCTCTCTCTCGCCTTGCAAACCCAATTCTTTATCCCTCTAACTTAACTTTGTCGCTCAAAACAGGTGAGTTGGATTTGTATAAAAAAATCGAATTTCAAATACGAAATGAGATCGTGATCAATGGATTGGACCCATATTCAATCTGGGCCGTTGGCTAACATTGTAGCTATCAGCCATGGGTTGATAAAATCTTTTCTCATATATATATATATATATATATATATATATATATATATAGTAGTAAAGGTTCTGTGAGTACAAGTGGCTCACAAAGAAAATAAGTACGACCGTAGTGGTACCGTAATTAGTAATCGTACGGGTCTAGTATACTAACGTA